AAGCGCACGAACATTCATAGAAGCTGTGCAGTTGGGGCATGTCTTGGAGTTGTGGCCGTTGTGGCTGCAATGCGAGCAGCGCCGGCTCATTTTTGGTCCGGGCTCGATAGATTGAGGAAGGGGCAGAGGGATGAGAGAGAGAAGGGAGGAAGAAGAAGAATAACGAACATTCATAGAAGCTATGCAGTTGGGGCATGTCTTGGAGTTGTGGCCGTTGTGGCTGCAATGCGAGCAGCGCCGGCTCATTTTTGGGTCCGAGCTCGACAGATCAAGGAAGGGGCAGAGGGATGAGAGAGAAGGGAAGAAGAAGAAGAAGAATAATAATAATATAATAATAAATTATGTGGGTCTTTATTTAAATAAAAAATGCCACGTGTAAAAACAAAAATGCCATCTCATCAAATAACGTTACGTGGGTTTTCCATGTAATTATTAATTTTTTTTAAATGTAATTTTGTGGCAAAATAACGTGCCACCTGTCATTTAACTGACGGAATGACCATTTTGCTACCAAAAATGAAAGTTTGAGGATAATTTTGGTACCTTTTAAAACTGAGGGACAATTTTGGTACCAAAGTGGATAGTTGAGGGACCAAAATGGTACTTAAACCTTGTTTTTGAAGTGGTGGCGGGACTAAACCCGTTTTATACAGAAATGAGCATGATTGATTTGAAATGAGATTTTGATGCTTTCATTAAATTGAGCATGCCTACTTGGAAATTTAAGTGATTGTCCTGATGATCTGAAAGTGATTGGTAAAGTATGATTTTTCTGTTAATCTCTACCTGTTTTGTCTCTGATATGGTCATGTCATTAGTGACCCTGCTAGTGGGGGAGTTTATAAACGCTAGCACATGTCGGCACATGCTGATATGTTTCTGTAATCCTGCTAGTGGGAGTTAAACGCTAGCACATGTCGGCACATGTCGATATGTTATTCGTGACCCTGCTAGTGGGGGAGGTTATAAACGCTAGCACATGTCGACATGTTATTGATAGAATTGGTTCGTTGAGTGACCCTGCTTGTGGGGGTTATACACCAGCAAACAGTGACCCTGCTTGTGGGGATTATACACCAACAAACAGTGACCCTGCTTGTGGGGATTATACACCAGCAAACAGTGCGCCTGCCAGTGGGTGTTAGACGCTGGCCGTGACCTATAGAGGAGACGTCTATTTCGTTCTCATATTGTATCCGTTTTTCGTGATTGCACATGTTGGCATGCTATAAGTTTAATAATGGGCACTCCATATTTACTTACTGAGTTTATCTCATAGTTTTTTCTTGTCCACCATTTCAGGAAGTGAAACCGAGGACGGGGAAACCACGGGAAGTGATGAGTTAGAAAGCTAGCCATTTCGAGATTGATATAGATTTTAGAAATAAATCATGATCTTGTATTTGGAGATTTTATGATATCAGAGAGAAATTTTAAAGATTTGATCTTCAGATTTTGATGGTATCAGAGTATGATATGATTAAGTTCCGAGCCTTGTGCATTTGTGGGACCTGTCTCACGAGTGCACGGCGTCTGTCGTGCCTCGGATTTGGGTTCTGGGGCGTGACATAAATGTTAAAGACAACAATTCTTACAGACATGATGGCTTTGCTCTTGTTTTCCCTTGAATCTCCATCACCTTCTTCTACATAAGAAAAGGATCTTCTTCACTATTATTTCAAGAAGATCAAGAATGACAAACTCAGCTCGATCCTTAATATTGTCCCAAAGATTCTAATGAAAGATAAGGCTTCATCTCTTCTTCCAATTTCTAGTATGGTTTAAAGGCAATAACCTGCTCAAACACCTTCTGATTTAGGTCATAAGAATTTCCACAATAAGGTTACATTGATCAATTTTGTTATGCAAAACTTGCTTGAAGTTGATGTGGAAATGCACACCTTATATAAGGACAAATTGATCAAATTTGAGAACCATGTTACCTTCACCTCTTCCTCAATCCCAAACTATATAGACAAGGAGTTTGATGTTGATGATGGCCTAGATAATGACACGCCTAGTGTGCTGTTATCCAAGGCAGAAAAACAAAGAATTAGAGTGCCATGGGTTAATGCTTTGATTATCAAAGCTTTCTACCACAAACCTCTTAGCTCTAATTTCATTTTTCCTAGAGTTAAAGCCCAGTGGAGCAATGGGATTTTATTGATCTTGGCCTTTACTTTTTTCTTATTCATTTTTAGGATAAAACTAATCTCCATTGTGTTGTTTTTAAGGCCCTTGGTTTGTTAGTGCTTTATAACTATGAGATGTTGGGAGCTAAACTTCATCCCTTCAAATGTTCTCCACTTTTTTACCATAGATGGCAATTTAGTCATAGCTACCTAATTTATCAACTAACTGTTATAACCCCTCTACTGTCCAAAAGATAGGAAACAAGGTTAGTAGCTTTGGGTTGATGTTCATACGGTACATCACACCAAAAGATAATATGCTTGTATATGCGTCCAAGTCGATTTATCTCAACCGATTGTTAAATATATTCAACTTGGCAATATGTTCAATTTATGAGGGTGTTAATGCCTTCTGTTTTAGTTGTTATTAGATTAGAAACTATAACAATCAATGCCCTCATACTAAGGCATCCCACCTAACACAATCAATGAAGACAACAACCCTTCTATTAAAGATGATTCAACTAATCTAATTAACCTGATCAATAGTCCTATAAAGGAGATTGATGTGGAGATGGGTATAAAATCCCAAAGCAAAGGAACTCCTTTTCAATATGGTTCTACACCCCCAAATAAAAAAGATTATGACCCTTAGTTAGTAATGGGAAGTAAGCTACAAAAATAATAATAATAATAATGCAAAGACCAAAACTACTAACAAAGCACACATGAAGGTCAAGCAAGAAAGGATGGATTAAAATTGGCCAAACCTAACCAAACAGTTGGGCCTAAGAATCAATTAGGTCTTATATCACAGGCGCATTCAATGCCCAACGACTCCTTTGTAGGATCATTAATAAGGGATTATAAGGTTATATATCTGCTCAATGGCTAACCTTTCAAACCTTGCCTAGAGTAACAATAAGGCTATTTCTAATATTATGGTCATATGTGTTGTTGAAACTCAAAAGATTGGTTCATCATCACACCTTAGCATCGACAAGAATGGCTCCACCTCCATTAAAAGTGGTGCTATACAACCCATGGTTGTAGAAGCCCACAAAAAAATGGCCCAAACCAATCCTTTGTTGATTAGTAAAACAAACCAAGGTCTTATCTCTGTTATAAGGGTGAAAACTAGTAACCATTCTTCTTCTCACCTTCCTTCTAGCTCTCAACAAACCTCAGCCACACATATCACTTTTAACTATCCTTCCATATCCCTTGATTCCATTACTCCTGATAATGGAATCTAACAACCTCCTGATCTTGGATCTTAACCTTTTAGGCCTTTCTAGTGAGCAAGGGGAATTTTCTCTGACTTACAATGGCTCAGTTGTTACTTACGATGCCAACATACAATAAAATCGATCAATAGTCTTAACACCAAATTGACAAGGCGTAGAGACGACCATTTATCCTTTTGAAGGAAATCCTCCCCCACAATTTCCTACATTTGTTCTAGTCTTTAGATAAAGGAGTGACATCAAACATAGATTTGCTCCCTAGATGGGATTTCACGTGCAACAAAGAAGGTATCAACACAAAAGGATTTATACCCCTATCAAACCCCAAAAATTGGATTGCCCAACAACTCTACCATTTTGCTACTACCCGGGGATCACAAGAATAATTTACTTTATACACATACATGCAACATCTCAATAGAGCCAACATAGACCATCGAAGAAAGACTTTTAGATAATGGTGCTTTCATATCATTTTTTGGCAACATAGATGTTGTTTCTACAATAGGAGACTAGGTATGGACCATCAATTGATTGGCAACCAACGAAGCATTAGGGATTCTTGATACTTTTTTATGGTCAATGAACATTACCATGTAGAATTACCACAAATGGCTAATCAAAATTTCAGACGTCATTTTATGGATCTAAAGGCTACTCATAATCCTAAAATGATGCTAATCATGGAGACCAAAATCTTTGAGGCTAGAGCTATAAACATTATTGTTACCCTTTTCCTACCTACCACATTGTTGATGCAAAAGGGCTAGTAGATGCTCAATGGTTACTTTGCGATGATAGTAATTTATCAATTGATGTGGTATCCTCTAGCACCCAAGCCATTCATATTATTGTTAGGGTAAGAAATAATTTTATTCTTTTTAACATTAATTGGTTCTACTTTGCGGTATATGGCAAGCCATAAACTAAGATCTACTTTCTCATTTGGCAAGAATTTTCTGCCTTATCTAATCATTTTAGTGGCCTTTAGGTTATAACGAGTGACTTTAATGATGTGACTTGCCAATTCAAGAAGTTTAAGGGTAACTCTATTAATTAAAATCGTTTAGGCATATACTTGCATGAATACTTGCAGCATGATTGATGTGGGGTTTATGGTTGGTAGATTCAATTAGGTTAGCAAGATGAGGATGGATATATTATTAAGGAAAGGTTAGATTGTTTTTGGTGTAACCCAAAATGAAAGATATTATTTCTTGAAGCTTTGGTGTTTCACTTACCAAGGATTTATTCTGACCATAATCCTATTCTCCTTAACCTTACTACTAACTATCCCTCATTTGTGAAACAACTATTTAGGCTAGAAAAGTTCTAAGTTGATCACTCATTTCAAGATCTTGTTCAGGGTCTTTGGAATCACCTTGATAGTAATAGTGTTGAATGCATCTCTTCTATGATGGATAAAGTGAAGGCTTAAAACTGTTCCACCTTTGGTGATCTATTTAAAGGAAGAAGAAAATCCTTGCCAAATTAGATGGTATCTATAGGTACTTATCTTCCAACCATAGCTCCTTTCTTACAAACTTAGAAAAGGAATTGACTATAGAGTATTCTCAAATTCTCAAGTGTGAAGGGGATCTTTGGTTCATGAAATCTTGTATTAATTGGATTTTGAAAGGTGATAGAAATACTTAGTTTTTTCATGTGTTTACTCTTAAACATAGGTCCCACAATAGAATTTATGGCTTAAAAAATCTCTAGGCAAATGGTTTTATGATGCATCTAGTATTGCCACCTTTTACAAAAGTATTTCCACCCTTTACAAAAGTATTTCCATAATCTTTTCTCTTCTTCTCTACTGCATTCCTTCTCTGATTCTTATCAAGTTACCTCTCTTGACTACAATTCTACTTTGGATTGCTTCTTTGAATTTGATGCTATTTCTTTGGAAAGGGAAATTTTAGTGACTCTTCATTACTTTAAACCTTATAAAGCACCAAGATCTGACAGAGTTTACCCTTTTTTTTACCAAAAATTCTAACACACTATGAAACATAAAGTTTGTCATGAGATCATATAGGTGTTCTTTGAACGGGTGCTGCTAGTGGGCTGGAATGATTGCCTACTCACATTAATCCCTAAAATGAATAGCCCTAAAATGGTTTCCCAGTTTTGTTTGATTGGTTTATGCAACACTTCTTACAAAATTATTTCTAAAATCCTTGTTAATTACATTAAACCTTTCGTGGATGAATCATTTCCACTAGTCAAGCAAGCTTTGTTCCAAGTAGGTGTGGTATTGATAATGTTATTATTTTGCAAGAACTTGTCTATGCTTTTAGTAAGCATTCTGGTAAGGTTGGTGATTTCATCATCAAACTTGACCTAGAAAAAGCTTATGATAGGCTTCAATGGAATTTTATTAAGGAAACTCTTTTGTTTTTTCAATTTCTTGGCAAAATTATTATGTTTATTATAGCTTGCATTTGCTTTTCTATTGTCTCTATACTTATCAATGGGGAGTATACTAGACCTTTCTTGCCTTCTCAAGGTATTTGGCAAAGGGATCTTCTTTCTTCTTATATCTTCATTCTGCGTACAGAGTTTTTAGCACTAATTATTACTAAAGCTACTTCCTTGGGTTATTGGAGAGGGAGCAAGGCTAGTAAAAGGGGTCCAATCTCTCGCATTTATTCCTTGTTGATAATATTATATTTATCAGTAAAGCTACTTGAGAGAACTCAATTCTAATTAAGATCATTCTCGATTTCTTTTGTGCTAGATCTAGGCAGAGTATCAACAAGTCTAAATTTAGAATTTTTTTTTCTAAAAATGTAGCCACTTAATGTAAGGAAGATGTTTACAATACTTTGGGTTTTTGCCAATCTAACTCATTAGGAAAATACTTGGGTATCCCAATCACCATTAAGAGGTTGAATAAATAGGATTGTGTGCTTATTCTGGAGAAGGTTCATTCTAAGCTTAATGGTTTAAAAGCCGAATAGTTTTTTATGGCAAGCAAAACTACTCTTATTCATTATGTGCTTGTTGTTGTTCCTAATTTCTATATGTAATCTTCTATGCTTCTTTCATCTGTCTTTTCTTATTTGGATAGAATCCCCATGGATTTTCTCTAGGGGAGGACACCCAACCAAAAAAAGTTGCATATAGTTAATTAGGAGCAAGTTACTTTCCCTAAAGCTTCTACTAGTCTGGGGATCAAGAGTACCAAAAAGGCTAACTTGGCTGCTATGTGTAAGCTAAATTGGTGATTGTTTAATGATAGAGATTAGCTATTGGTGATAATTGCTAATAAATATAAAATTGGCAATCACCTTTCAACTCTTCTTCCTAAGGATTCTCTTGTTCTTTAGAACATCTAGAAAAACAATAAACTTTTCCATCAAGGAATTAAGTGGATTCCTTCCAATGGTCAGTCTATAATTTTTTGGAGGGATCATTGAACTTCTTATTCCTTCTTGGCTACTATTTTTCAAGGCCTTCTTTAACCTAACTAGGCTAATATTTCTATTGCTAATGTTTTTACAATGGAAATTTTCTTCTAATCTGTTGAATACCCCATTCGCCGTGATATTTGGAGTTACATTACTATTACTCCTTTCTCCACTGTTGGTCATAACCAAGATAACTTTTGCATGGAAAGGGAGTCTTAGTGGCAAATTTTCAACATCCTCTGCTTATAATTTGCTAAAAGATTATCCTACTATGCCATAAAATAGTTGGAATTAGATTTGGAAATCCCAAACTCTTCTTGAAATTTAAGATTTTGTTTGGCTTTTATGTCACGAATGTCTTAAAACTCTCTCCTTTTTGTGCAAGCTAGGTATTGTTGAGAATGACATTTGCCCCTTATATGGGAAAGGTCCAAAAACTTGCTTTCATTTTATGCAATCTTGTAGCCTTACCTCTTATGTTTGAACTAGTTCTTTCCTGGCTCCCTTGACTTCTCAATCAATAGTGACTCCTTTTTTCAATTACATTAAGGATAACTGCACCAAGAAGATTCAAGCTCCTAATATCCCAATCCCTTGGGGTACCTTTTTACCTTTTTCTTGTAGAATATCTAGCTCTTTAGGAATTGGAAGCTTTATCAATTTGCTAATTTTTGCACAAATAGGTTGCTTAGTTTGAACAAGGAACAGGTCTTTGAGTTTTGTGCTACCAAACCTATTCATGTCCATTCTCTCCATGATAAATCTATCACTTTGGTTCAATGGGAGAAACCTCTCACTAGTCGGGTTAAGGTTAACATCAATATATCTACACTTACTAATCCTAGTCTTATTGCTATTGGTAGCATCACTAGAGACCAACATAGCAACTATATTAAGGGCTTCACTAGAAAGATTGGATACACCTCTAGTCTAGCTGTTAAGTTGTGGGGGGGTCCATGATGGATTGCTCGTTACTCAACAACTGGCCTTGTTTTCAATTATTGTTGAGATGAACAATCAAGTTGCTTTCTTTCCATTTTCTAAGGACCCTGATGGGCATTATCCTCATAATACTTTAATTTTGGATTGAAGGGCCACGTTGGCTGCCATTCCTAATGGTTAACTTTAGCGTATCTTTAGGAAAGCCAACATGTGTGCTATTTTTCTGGCGAATATGGGTCACACCTTGCCTTCTTTTGTCTGTCATTAACTTGATTGCTAACGTTTAGGCCTGGGGATGTTCTTGCATGCTGATATGAATAGGATTGAGTTTCCTAGACTTTTATAAAACTATATTTTATGATTATTTCCTCCTTTTCACCCAAACAAAAAAAAAAAAAAAACAAAAAAAGAAGAATAAGAAGAAAAAGACAACAACACTTCAATTTTTTCTTTAAATAATGTCTAAAAATATTAGTTTATTGACTAATTTTAATTTCTTAACTAACAAATATCAATTGTTCTATCAATTATTTGTTAATAATTACAATTATAAATTAGTATTATTAATTAAATTAAACATAATCATTGTTTTTAAAAACAATATTTTACAGTTTTTATAACCTTAACATTTTTGTTAATGGCTATAACCATTCTTGTTGGTATGTGAAGATTAAATGATTATTACTCTTTTCCATTTAAAATAATTGTCAATATTTTTTTGTTTATTTTGTATTTGTTCTAAATTAATTTTTATTTTTTTAATTTTAAGATAAAAAAATATTTTTTTTTATTTTAACTTTATTTTTATCCATTTATTTCTTCCAATCTGATTTAGTTGTTCCAATTTGACTTTTATATCAAATTTAACCAGATGATTTTATATAATAAATAAATGACAATTAAAATTTTTTTTCTTTCTATACATAGTACTTATTGAATATTTTTACTTATATAAAACAAATTTTATATATTATTTATTTATTATATAAAATGACCAGGTCAACTACTATGCAAAAATCAAATTCGGATAATAAGATCCAACCAAAAGTAGTAATTTAATTATTAATCATATCACAAAAAACCCTTAATTTGAAAAAAATAAAAAAAAAGGACAATGACAAAATCAATAATCAATTACTATTCCTTCCAATCTGATTCAGTTGTTGTACTTTATTTCTTTTTTATAAAATTTGATCAAATAATTTTTATGTATAAATGCATGACAACAAAAAATTTTCTTTTCTATATATAGCCCTTGTTGAATATTTTTAGTTAGATCAAAATAATTCTTTAATTTTTATTGATTTGTTATATATCAAATTATCAAATTAATTTACATAAAGTTGAGAGACTAAAACAACTAAACAAAACTAGAGGAGTAATATAAAATCAAGAGTATGGATCCACTTACACATAAATTTTACATATGTCACTTATACAAAATATTAATCATTAATCTTTTCACTTTTAATGATTAAAATTTATTCACATTTATTAAAAATAATTATTTTTATTTAAAAAGTCATAATAAATTTTAACAATTGAAAGTAGAGAAATGAATAGTTAAAATTTTATATAAGTATAATGTGTAATATTTGTATGTAAATGGATTGCTTCTCAAAATTTAATACAAATTAGATTAGTCTAACCTATGCCTAAAGGAGGTCTTAAATACATTTTTTATGTGTTAATTTAATTATAAAATTAAACAAAGTTGACATTAATTTCAATATTCATGCCACATGAATAATTTTTATTAAACAATTAATAAAATTTATATCAATTTTTATTTTTATTATGTATGTTAATGATAAAAATATATAATTAATATATTCTTATCCTATTTATTCAGCGACAGATATTATAAAAACCCAAATAAATTTTAAGCTCGGAAAAGAATTGCCTTATCACCACCTTGAGCGGTCGTTGGCAGAAGAGAGAAGAAATTGATGCACATTCTCAATTTTGAAGGGTCTCCAATATAAGAGATATGAAAGAAAGTCAACTACTAAACTAAAACCCAAATACATCATACAAGGACATCCTTTGTAACCCCACCTCTTTGTCATGTTCAAGAGCCACTTTTCATATTCTTAATCCTCTCTCTCTATATTATAAGTAAGCAGAAACTTCAATTATTTTTTAAGCAAGAATCTCTTCAAATTCTTAAGAAGGTAACAAAATATGCACTAGGCATTTTTGGCTCATTCCACTTGGTTTATTTTATTTGAGAAGGCTTAACATATAAGGGTCCCCCCAAACCCCACCATTTTTCAATCAAAACAGGACAAAGCCTTCCCCTTTCCTTTGGAAGCATCGATGGCAGCCCGATTTCTTCCCTTTGCTTCACTTCTCCTTCTCTCTTGTTTGGCAGAGACTTGTCATGGGGTTCTATTCTCTTCCCTGCAGAGAACACTTATCGTTACTGCCTCGCATAATCAAGGAAGTAAGTTCTTATCTATTTAATTGGTGTTTTCGGATCTCCCAAATCTCTTTGAAGTTTTTGCGGATTTCGATTGTATTTAATTTCGTCAAATTCATGTTATATGTATTGTAAATACAAAATTATTTCCTATTGTATCAATCTTGACAAAATTAACTCTGTTTCGGGCACTTGATTGACTTGAAAAACACTGCTGGATACTGGAAAATTGCAGTTTTGAAAGCTGGAGAGGATCAAATCACAGTAACATGGGGGTTAAACCAGAGTTTCCCTAGTGGAACTGATTCAGCCTACCAAACCATCAAAGTCGAGCTCTGCTATGCGCCCATCAGCCAAGTTGACCGTGCCTGGAGGAAAACTGTCGACAATCTCTCCAAAGACAAGACTTGCCAGTTCAAGGTCGTGGCTAAGCCATACACCAACACCAACCAGAGCTTCCAGTGGACCATCGAGCGCGATGTGCCCACAGCTACATACTTTGTCCGCGCCTATGCTTACGGTGCACAGGACCAGGAGGTAGCTTACGGTCAAACCACAGATGCCCACAAAACCACCAACCTCTTTGAAATTCAGGCAATCACTGGCCGCCACTTATCGCTGGATATTTGCTCTGTTTGCTTCAGTGCTTTCTCGGTGGCGGCTTTGTTCGGGTTCTTCTTTGTCGAGAAGAGAAAGGCAAAGATTTCACAGCAGAAGTGAGAAAAAGAAAGTGCAATACTATACCATACTAATACTGGGTATATGGTGTGTTATATGCATGCTTGTAGTTCTGTTTCCTCAATACTTTGCTTATTAATTTGTACTGCTCGTGGAGTTTGGTTTTTGGTGGGGTTTGTGAAGTGAAGATGCATTTTGTTAAGAATCTTTTGATGCTAATGGATGTGTTAGGTCCAACAAAGATGTTTCTTACTGCTGCAAGAAAATGTTCATAGACAACAATTAACACTACTAAGCTTAAATCAGCCATTCGATATTTTTCAACTTTCAATACAAAGAGAATAACATTTCCATAGATCCAAAATTAGTTAATTAACTGGCGATCTGGTATATATATGAACCGTCCTAGCCATAGCCATCGGGCACTGCGTTTCGACTTTGGACGCTTTGTCTAGACTCTAGAGTACCTAGGCACGCCTAATCCATTTTTCCTTTGTTTTTTTTTTTTTTTTCTGCGTTCTTTTAGGAAAAAGGGGAAAAGAAGAGCACTTGAGACTTCGGTCCAGTGACATTAGGCTACCTATAAATGCATTCTTCCACCCAGGTAACTGTTTAAATCCGATCCATTGTGAATTTGTTAAAAAAAAAAAAAAGAAAAGGGAAAACGCCTAAAGCCACCTAGGTGCTAGGCAACGTGGGTAACGCTCTTTTCTGCAACATTGGTGTATACACACATTAAAAAAAATGAATTCTCAACGGAGAGAAAGAGACTGTTGTGGTAAACTCAGCTGGGGATAGATCAAGCGATGCGAGTATTTGACATTTCTGCAGTTGACTTTGACATTTCTGCAGCAATGAAGAAAATGAAAGCTAATGACTAGCTTAATTATTATTATTAATTTAAATAAGGCAATTAGTACCGTTTATATCATAAACTACAAAAATTTAAGATCATACCATGTGTCAAATATTTAAGATCATACCATGTGTCAAATATTTTTAAATGGATGGAGGTGACTTATCTATGTCAGATATGTAATGACTTATCTATGTCAGATATGTAATTTTGGGTCTCATAACAAATCAGGTGCCACATAGAGAAGAAGGAGATAAAAGGATAAGATTTTATCTTTTAGTTGCCTATTTGAGTTACATTGGGTTTGTTTTAGCGAAAATTTAGGAGGTGGTTTTAGTTATGGGTGTGGGTTGCTAATAATCGGATAGATGGCAAAATCTAGAAGAAATTCTGACTTTGTCAATTGCTGAGGTGTTCCACTTCTTTAAGAAATTGTCCATGATTTGTGTAACTGCAAAAAGTGTGAAGTTGCAACCGGGAGAAGGGAAACAAAAGGAAAAATTTTTTATGATGGAACACACGGGCTGCCCTACACACAACTTGATAAAATTTTCAGACTTTTAATTTCTTTGTGATTGCTTACTTTTGATTACAAATTTCGAATTTTAGCACAATTCCCAGTAGATTTAGATTGTTTTTCATCATTCCAGTAGTCAAACTTGTTCGAATATTTGTTTCAGCAATTTCGTTGCATGTAATGAACATCAAGTATTGGATTTCTACAAGGCATTGTTCCTTTTCTGGTTGGTGTTAATTTAATGTTTATAATAAGTAGTGTTTTATAAAATGATTACTTGTATAACATTCACGTTTCTTCTCAATTTCGAGCATGTTCATTTAGTCCTTATTTGAGTTTATTTTAGTGTAATTTCGAATTAGATTTCTAATTATGTAATAGTTTAACTTCCAATTGTGTCTATAAATAGCAGTTTAATTTAATAATGAACATGCTTAGTTTAATTTGGATGCATTTTTTATTTATGAATTTATTTTAATTTGCATGCAATTTAGCTCGTTTAGGATTTGTTAACTTTGATTCATGGTAGTGTTTAAATCCTTGGAGTTGTCGAAGGCAGATTTAGTTACCCATTTTGCAAGAAAGCATCCCTCCCTCTTGCAAATCATTTATAGGCATAGATTTTAACTTTAAACCAATGTTCTTCCCTCCATTTGCAAGGAGGTCGACCATGAGGAAAAAGAGGGTCATTGGGAAAATCCTTCTTTCTTACTTAAAGTAAGTGACACGTTTGCATCTAGATTTTGCACGTGTGAAGCCATTAGAAGAGATTTTTTGAGAAAACAATCCTCTTTTAGCAAGCTCGTTGGGACCTCACTGTGTCTTACTTACAATTTTCAAATCCATTATTCTTCTATCCAAGAAAAGGCATAGCTATGCCACCAAAAAAGAAATTTGGGAAAGTTGCCCAAACTTTATAGATTGGGCTTGGTGAAGGTAGTCCAGCACATTCAGAAGGAGAGAATGAGCTAGTCATTCCACCACCATTATCACTAGTACTTGGGGAACACTCTTTTGTCAATCCAACCTTCAATAAGGATAGTGAATCTAGAGATAATGGTGCTCAATCAAGTCTCCCTTATGAAGGTTGTGTCAAAACAGATTAGCATGATCAGGCAAACACAGTTGGAATCTGAGGAAAAAGCTTAACAAAGAAGCTAAGAGATTGTTAGATGATTGGATGAGTCCCTTCAGAATTTGGCCCAAAGTATAGCTAACATGTGGCATTCTAATGAAGAAAGTACAAGGGTTTAGCAACAGCAAAATGTAGAAAATTAGAGAGCTTTTCAAGCTGAAATAAAACGGATGTAAGAAGTATTTCGACATGCCAGAATTGAAGCTCAACCACAAGCAGTAGATCCTCAAAGGTAGAACCAGAATATTCCAGCTCCAACACTTCGGGGGCAAATTAATCTACCACAGCCACTTCCCTAGAATCAGTAGACAGTATTCAATCTAGCACAACCAGAACCAGTTAATGCTGCACCACGTGTAGCAAAAATGGGCAATCCCCAGTAGCCTAGATATTTGCCACCTCAACGTCGACCAAATGGTGGTCACCCACAACATAATGCACCTCCATAAAGGGAGCAATTCTAGCCTTATGTGCCACCTATGCAAAAAATCTTCAAGGTTTGCCAGGCCAATACATTAATCTTGATCAAATCATTGATATGGTGCAAAAGACTTATGGTCCAATTTTAAGGCCTTTAGTCAGACCAGTTTATAGATAAACATATCTAGATTACATAGACCAAGAGAATCCTTTCCTAATGGGATTCAAGATTCTAGAATTCACTTTATTTTTTGGGGATGGTGGAGTGGATATTTTACAATTGAACACATAGGTCGCTTCACAATTTAGTGTGGTGAGGCCTCCAATAATGATAATCTGAAGCTCAAACTTTTTCCTAGTTCTCTAATTGGTATGGCTCTCACCTAGTATCTGAGTCTGATACAAAATTCAGTTAATTCTTGAAGGTAAATAGAGGATCTTTTCTATATTCAGTTTTATCATAATGAGCTAGAAGTATCCATGGCAGATTTATCTCATTTGGTGCAATGACCTAGAGAAACATCTAAGGCCTTCCTTGCCAAATTTCAGAAGGCTAGACTTAAGTGTAGAGTTGCATTGCCAAAACAGGAGTTTGTCAAGCTGGCACAAAATGGTCTAGACATTGAGCTAAAGAAGAAGTTTGAGAGAATAGAGTTTCCAGATTTCTTTGAGTTGTCTTACAAAGTTGATTGTTATGAAAATTTATTGCAAGAAGACACACAAAGGAAATTTTCATCTCATGGGACTTACTATGGAGACGTCAACTTTGATTTGGATGTGGTAGAAGTGGTGGCAAACAAGCTTGTTATTTGCCCAGATCTAATTAAAGTGGCCCAACAAACTAACCTGATAGTAAAGTATCATGTCGGCGAGGCTAGAAAACAATACATTTTTTACATCTTAAAGACTAGTTAAATTTTTTACCACCTTAGAAAGAGTGGTCTAATTAAGTTGCCACCGTGGCATAAAATCCCAACAGCTGGTGAAATTGAAAGTAAGGAATATTGTAAGTGTCATAACTCTTGGAAACATTCTACTAATGATTGTGTTATTTTTCGAAATGTTTTGCAAGACAAAATCGATAAGGGAATTTTTTGTTTTCCAAAGAAGGGTAAAGAAATTATGGGTGTTGATGCATATCCATTTCATAGTATGTTTTTTGGGGTGAATGCAGCAAATCTCAAGAGCATTGCTAAAGATAGAAATCACCTATACTTTAGGCGCAAACTTGCAGTTGATGATTGAGGTGGGCCATTGAGGAGGCAATGGCCTGTAGAAATTAGATCAAATTAAATCCATCTCGAAGGAGAAGGCATAGAGGCCACAACCCAACTCAGCAAAAAAATAACGCAGATCAGGAAACTGTGCCACCTGGACACGTAGAAAAACCCATAATGGTGAAACCACCACCCAAATCTCCAAGTAAGTGGTGGGAACATGTGGTTCACCCAAAATATCCTAAGGTTTAGAATTCTAGGACATTGAGATGGTGCTTACAATGCAAAAGGGTAGTAGAGAGACATCGACTATAGATTGAAGGCTTGGGGAGCATGGTAGATCAGACTCAGCCGCTCCTAGCAAGAAGGAAATTAGTGAGGGTTTGTAAAGATAAAAGAAGCACATCTGGTCAGACTTCTCCAAAAAAGAATAAACCACCTAAAAGTCCAACATCACCTTAAGTTCTAACTATGGAATCAGAGGAAGAATTGGCTTGAAGGCGAAGTTTAATATGCTGGACAAAGCAAAAGGTTCATCAAATGTAATTCAATTTGGTGAGTTTTCCATGAATCTGTCTTGTTTAGTGATTACTCTTCCTTTGGTCTTCCAAGCTAGAGAATAGTCAGAATCTTTAGTCTATTAGCAAATAAATTAGATCAAGGACGAGGGAATCATTAAAATACTAGCTAAGGAAGATGGAGGTGCTTACTCAACAGACAAAATCATTTTTGAGAAGCTAGAAGAAAGGATGGCCAAGCATATAAGGTCATTATACATTCATGCACATCTAGACGGTATGCCAATAAATTGAGTTCTAGTCGATAATGGAGTAGTTGTCAATGTTTTACCAACTTGCATGCTACATAAAATTGGCAACTCTTTGGGTAATTTAGTGGAGATAGAAGTGACGATCAGTGACTTTACTGGTGGGGTAAATTGCTCAAGGGCAATTTTGCTTATAGAACTCACCATGGGAAATAGAACTCTTATGTGTGCATTCTTTGTGATTGACACTATTGCCACTTATAATGCATTACTTGGGAGAGATTGGAAGCATTCTAGCTAGTGCGTTCCTTCAACTCTACACTAGAAATTGATATTTTAGAATGGTGACAGAATTGAGGTTGTGATAGTAGATGACAAACCTTTTGTGGCAAACACTAATGCAATGGAAGCTCGCTATTATGATAAAGATATTAGGACCATTTGTTTCATTAGGATGGATTGTTATGGCAGACCTTCTAGGATCACTACTTGCATTAGATTTGCACTTGACAGACAAACTATGAAAGAGGTCTATGTTGAACTTCTTCAGTCTACAGCAATTGTTCCTTTTAGGCCGAGGGAAGAGCTTGAGATTAAAGAGATTCCATGAAGAGAGACTGCATTAAGCACTAGAAAAAAGGAGGCCATGGAAGAAATCAAAAGGAAATTAGCGGGCTACTTTGCAGAAAAATGGATCTTTGTAGATAGATTTGAGGTGATTTATAAAGGTGAAAAAGAAAACTCAAACGATCAGATAATTCTAGAGGAATTAGATCTGGCACCAGCAAAACTTGATGATTTGAAGGTAGAAGTACAAGATCCCTTAGAAGAGGTAAATCTAGGTACTAAGGCAAATCCAAAAATTACTTTTATTAGTGGTTCCCTTGAGTTGTGTTTACGTGATAAAATTATTAATATTTTGCATGAATAAAAAGATTGTTTTACTTGGAATTATTTTGAAATGCCAGGTCTAGACAGAAATCTGGTAAAGCACAAATTACCAATCAAAGAAGGCTTTAGACCTTTCAAGCAACCACCAGATAAACGTCTCCAGAAGTGACTCTAAAAGTCAAAGAAGAAATAGAGTGACTGCTAAAGGTTGGCTTCATCAGAACTTCCAGATATGTAGAGTGGTTATCTAATGTGGTCCTAGTGGTGAAAAAGAATGGCAAGTTGAGAATCTATGTGGATTTTAGAAATCTGAATCTGGCAACACTAAAAGATGAATATCCTATACCTATTGCAAATTTGCTTGTGGATGGTGCAACGCGTCATCGAATTCTATCATTCATGGATTTCCATAGTGGGTACAACCAACTCTTTATAGCAAAAAAGGACATTCCAAAGACTGCTTTTTGTTGCTCGAGAGCTTTTGGTACCTATGAGTAGGTGGTAATGCCACATGTCAAGATGTAATGGCATTGTTTACACTATAAATTACAAAGTTTTAAGATCATGCCATATGTCAAATATTTTTAAATAGATGAAGGTGATTTAACCATTGTAGATATGCAATTTTGGGTCTCATGACAGATCATGTGCCACATAGGAAAGAAGGAGATAAAAAGATAATATTTTATTTTTTAGTTACCTATTTAAGTCACATTGGATCTATTTTAGCTGAAATTTAGGACGTGGTTTCAGTTATGGGTGTAGGTTGGCTGATAATGGGATAGATGGTAAAATATGGAAAGAATTTTGATTATGTTAACTGTTGAGGCGTCCCACTTCTTCAAAAAACTGTTCATGATTTGTGTAACTGTAGAAAGTGGCCAGGTGTAGCCAGGAGAAGGGAAACAAAAGGAAAATTTTTTATGATGGAACACACGAGCTGCCCTACGCACAACCTGATAAAATTTTTAGACTTTAAATTTCTTTGCAATTGCTCACTTTTACTTTCAAATTTCGGATTTCAACACAATTCCCAGTAGATTTAGGTTGTTTTTCATCATTCCAGTAATCAAACTAGTTTGAGCATTTGTTTCAACAATTTTGTTTCATGTAGTGAACATCGAGCTTTAAATTTCTATAAGGTACTGTTCCTTTTTTTACTGGTGTTAATTTAATGCTTATGATAATTAGCATTAATAAAATGATTACTTATATGGCATTCACACTTCTTCTCAAGTTCGAGCATGTTAATTTAGTCCTTGTTCGAGTTTATTTTAGTGTAATTTCAGATTAGATCCCCAATTCTGTAGTAGTTTAATTTTTAGATCTGTCTATAAATAGCAATTTAATTTGACAGTAAACATGCTTAGTTTAATTTGTATGCCATTTAGCTCGTTTAGGATCTAAATTTTGATTCATAGTAATGTTTAAGTCCTTGGAGTTGTCCAAGGTAGATTTAGTAACCCATTCTGCCAAAAGACATCCCTTCCTCTTGCAAATCGTCTGTAGGCGCAAATTTTAAACTTTAAACCAATATTCTTCCCACCATCCGCAAGAAGGTTGACCATGAGGAAGGAGAGGGTCATTAGGGAAATCTTTTTTTCTTGCTTTTAACAAAGTAAGCGGCATACTTGCATTCAAACTCTATAAATGCGAAGCCATTAGAGGATTTTTGAGGAAACAATACCTATGAGCCCTCAACCAATAATTTCCACTAAAACAGATGGTAGTAAGTGGTAACCACTTGCTTGGGGGTGTGGAAACCTAATGACTAGCTCAATTTTTTTTATCAATTAATAACCCTTTCACAACGATCGAACCAACATGCTATTATTATGGTCATCATTCAATTTGTTAAGATTAGTTATAATTATTAAATTTTTATTTTAATTTAATTATTAAAAAAATTTAATAATTAATAAAATAATTACTATTTATTATTTAATATATTAAAATTAGTTTATAAATAGATATTCTAAATATCATAATTAATTATTTAAAAAAAATATAAACTAATAAAATTAAAATTAAAATTTGTGATCTTAACAAATTAAATGATGGTAATAATTTAGCTCCAATAAATCTAATAAGTTAATCAAATCACAACAACATTATTGCAACTTGCATGATCTTATGTTCATTCGAAGTTTCTGGGGATAATGGCAAGTTGGAAAAATAAAACTAATGAAAACCAATGCTTCCACAGCTATTGTTGTTGACAGATTAACTTATGCTTCAATGCACCTACCAAATCATTTGCCAAAAGGAAAGCAGCCTACAAAGGAAATATAATCAACTCAAGGTAGATCCTGTATTCCGTACAATACCAGTGGCTCTTTATAAATGTAAAAGAAAACAAAGGAAAAGTAATAATAGAAAAGTGCAAATCAAGATGTAATGGCATTTTAAATGTTAGGCTTATTTTGAAATTATTTAAATACTCTTAATAAATCTTGTTTGTGTGTTGAATATTATGGTCATTTTACTCTTTTTACTACATTTTTAATGTTTTAATTGTCAAGATATCCTAATTTTCTTCAATCCCAAGTAATAAACTAAGGTGGAATGATGGATGATCCATTCACTACATTACCTAGTGGCTCATTATAAATTCAAAACCAAGCATATACAACTAATTTATCAAGTACAGACGCACAACAGTCAGAATTAGCAAAATAATAAATGAGAGGAAGAGAATGGGTATTGCATTCAGAAGCAAATATTTGTATGTGGAAAGATTTTACAGTTGAGCATGTGCACCTCATTTTGCAAGATCATAAGCAGCAAAACCTCAATGGCTCCACATCTTAATTATTTGCAACTTGCAAGGAATGAGGAATGATAGTTATATTATTAAGGTCTTTGAAGCTTTCATTTTCATGTCGAGATTTATTCAGATAGTACATACTTCATTTTTCCAACTATTGTTAAGAATGAAACTCCATATCTATGCTTTCTATTCGATCAGTACCAATAAGTGATAGCATGTTGTCATAAACATCTATATATCCAAATGCATCTGTTCCAGGAGGACACTCTAGGGCAGCTTCAAGTGTTCTATGATGTATCCCATGAGAATCAATTGAATGCCCTCCCTTATGATCATGTCCAGCTAGGCAAACCTTCACACAATTGTACTGGTGAATCACATCCATTACTTCATCATAATTCCATAGAAGTGCCTCTTGGGATGACGCACCAGGATCCAAGGGCAGATGGCAACATACAATTACTTTCTGTTTCAACTTTGCTGCATCTTGAAGTACAGCATCTAACCATTCTAGTTGTTCTTTCCCAACAGCTCCATTGAACATAAGGAACCTTCTATCAAGGCCTACCAATCCCATGGGACTATTTTTATCTAAATTTGGGTTTTTCTCCTCAAGAAATATTAAGGCCTTTAATGTATGTGGATGATCTTGAGGCCAACCGATTGCACTGATATCATAGCCATCAAGTACAACAAATCTGTATTGTGGACTTGGTAAAAAGTCGTAGTAGGCATGCCCATCAAGATTTGAGATATTCAATAAGGGAAGCAACTTATCCCGTGGGAGGTTGTAAAGGCAATGGTTACCAATCATGTGATAAACTGGACCATTGAACTTCCCAAACTCATCAACTACTTTCTTCACTATACTCATGGATTTGTGCTTCGGACAATATCCATCAACAATATCTCCCAAATTGATCACAAATTGAGGCCTCTTCTGGTTGTTCCAATTCTGGACAGCCCTTTGCAGTACAAGGAGGCTATGACGATAAAACCTAGGAACACCCAGAAATGAGCGACCATCCGGAATATCAGCATGCTGAACATCAGAAATAACCCCAAAGGAAAATAGTGGTTGGGTCCCTTGTGCACTTGTTAATCCATTTGCAGAGCCCATGAACAACAAACAATTGATTCCTGTTAAACAACTAAGTGGATTGTTAATTGGAAAAAGTTACCCTTGCATGTTAATTCAATGCTAAAGGTGCCATTTCAATAACTTCCAGGAAGGATAACATATGGGACTTCAAATAACTTCAACCCCCCACCAAAAGGGAAGGAGAAAAACAAGTACAAAGGGATAGGGGAGAGTAAAGAAGTAAATGGATGATTCATTTGTAGAGATAAACAAGCTTGAAATGGTGACAATGATGTAGAGAAAAGTGAGATAAAAATTCAATCAAAAAAAATTTGAAATAAACACATCATTCCCATAAATATCATCTGTGTTAGCTTAAAATCTACAGTTATCATGAAATCTACATTTATGTATCTCAAAGGACAAATAAGATGCAACATACAGAAGGGGAAACAGTCAAATGAAAATCCCAACCATCTACAGAAAATCAGTTTTAGTTGCTCTCCTGCCTTTCCAAGCAGCTCCATTGCACATTTTAACCACATAGATTACTCACATTTAACACCATACCACCATAATTAAGAAAAAGGAAAACAGCAGCAAAGACTGAAAACCATTGTTCTCTGTATCTACAATTCTATAATGCTTTTGCAATGTAAGTTATGTAACCCTGTGGAATTAATTAAACCCTAGATTTAGCATTTATTCCACAGCCATTCACTCTTCAATCCTCAAATTGGCTCCATAGTTGGCTAAATTTTAGATTCAAGAAACAAAAATCTCTCAACTCCTAAATACATAAAATTTATTGATTGATATTTCGTCAAAGCAACCATCACCTGACTGACTAGGTAAATGCGCTACTCTTCTGATTACTGGCAAGACCAATAAATCAATACATACTTGTTTTCATAATCTAGTGAAAATAGCCAGCTACATGATTCAAAAAAATCTGTAGGTTTTGAAGATAATAATCAATTGGTAACATAAAATTAAATCAGTAATAAGAATTGATAATAGATTTTCGCATTCCAAATCTGAATCGGAAAAGAAATGCATCAGTAGACAACAATCATGACAATCGATACATATACAGCCACCAAAGCCACAATTGTGAATTGGAAAATCAACAGATACGAATGCGAGAAAGAAAGTAAAGGTTGACGAACAGGACAGAAGAGAAGATGTACCGCTCGTTGCTAATCAGAAGAAACCTGACACCGCGACCAAGGCTGAAAAGAGCTTGAGGCAGGCTGGTCGAGGGAAGAGATTAATACAACGACGGCGTTAGGCTGATTGGCCGACGATTTGTCACGGTTGCGCCTAACGTGGTGAAACCCAAAAATACAACTTAATCCCCTTTTAAAATAAAAAAAATAAAAATAAAAAATAAAAAATAACGCACGCACAAAGAAAAGAAATTCAATCCGGTTCAATAGACCCAACAAACAAGGGGTGTCGGCTGGTATTGGATCTAGGGTATATTTGGTGCAGATTGTTAGAAGGATTTTTGATTTTAAAGGTTTAATTTTACGGAACATTATAATTAGTAAAAATTATTATAATTTTTCATAAGTTAATCTTTTTTATTTCATTATAAATATCAAAAGTACTAAATTAGTCTTTCTATAATAGTTTCTCATTTAGATTTTAATAAAATTAATATATTATTTTTATTTTTATTATTTTTTATTTATAAAAATAATACATTTACAATAACTTTTTTAAACAAAATTTCTATTAAAAACTTCAATTATACCAAACACACACTTAATTATTTTGGATTTCAAGTCAATTGGGTTGGCTCATTTTAAGTTTTGGGTTAAGTAGACCAATAGCTTTACGTGGGTCTCAGCTCTAAAGTTGGGTTTAAGTCAACTTAAATTTAAATTGATGTATTTTGTATTGTGATTTAATTCAGATTTTAATATTTTTTAAATTAATTTAATTTAATTAATTAATACAATTTGAAATTAATTTAATTTATTATTATATGATAACTAAACTAATCATATTTAAATTGAATATGTATGGTTTAATTAGATTAATTAGTTTTTAAAATTATTAAATATATAAGATAATATAAAAAATTTTAATATCAAATAAAAAATACAACTACAAAATATATTAATACCGAAGTTAGTAGAAGTATAATTAAAAAATATGTAAATTATAAATGTTCTTATACTCCATTTTGTAAAGATTAAAAAGATTTAAAAATTTTTTTTAACTATATCACCAAAGGCAAAAGGATTATAAAAGATGATGAGACAAATGCAATGTAAGTAGTTCTTAAATATTAAAACTAATTTTTTTTTAATAAACCAATAATTCAATCCCATCTTTTAAATCTTATTAAAAACAAATAAAATTTAAAATGAATATCACTAAGATTGATTAGAAGTAATCATAATCAAAATTTAAAACTACTTGACCAAACATCCAAGAATAGCAAAATATTAAGAAAATAGCATAATATTAAGATTAGTTTTATTATGAAGTTTTACTTCTTGAATGATGCTTTTTCAAGGCTTAGTTAGGAGAATCAAAATTTCATTTTATGAACAAATTAAAAATTTAGGATTCTAAAAGCAAAATCATGTACCAGTTTTGAGAGGTAGAATTGCATACAAATTAAAAATTTAGAATTAAGGTTAAAGTGCACAATTAAGAGGTAAAAATAAATTATGGAAAATAAGGATGTTCTATTTTTATATTTTAATTAAGTTAATAAAGTTAGTAACTTGTGAAACAAGAAAAAGAAAATTTAAAATACTATAAAAATATTATATTATTTAATTAAATTATCTTGTAATCGGGTTTTATTTTATAATTGGGCAGTTCACGTAGTGTGAAAATAAAATCACAAATGAAACCAATTATATTAGTTTTAAAATTTTATAATTCAAACAAATCTAATTTTATATTAATTTCGTTTGGTTTGATTTTTAATTGAATTGGATCAGTTTGAATTGGAATAATCAGATTGAATCGGATATAAATACCCCTAAATTTAGGGTGTTTGGTTAGGAAAATTTTTTAAAAAAAGTTTTAAATTTTTTATATATTTTTATTTATTAATATTATAACAAAATAAAAGTACAAAAGATATTTTTAATTTTATTTTTTTACATGATTCTCAATTAATTGGTAAAATGCTTTTTACCTATTTTATAAGATTTTTTTTTTATAAAACTATTTTTATATTGAATCTTCTTAACAATTTTTTTATTAACTTTTTTTATTAAATACGATAAACTTAATAACCTAATAATAAAATTCTGGCAAATTTTTATTATAAAATTTAGAAATTTCTATTTTACTATCCAAACTGATTTGAACTATAAAATAGAAAGACTCTCTAATATTAAAAAACACAATTTTCATTAAATAATTAATATTTTACAAATTAAATCAAATTAAATTATAAAATATTTTTTACAAAATTTAATTCCTTTTTATATAACATTTTTTAATTACTTTTTTAATAAAATAACACTATGATGAAGAAACCTAAAATTCGGTAGTATGGTGTCGTCAGGAGAGTAATGTAGGGGAGTGAGCCATGGCCCAACAAAATTTTCAAAATTCTTAAATTTCATCGGCCATTTTATTAATTTGCCCCTTACACTTTTTTTTTTTTAATTTAATTGGCCCTCTCTAGAAATTTCATCGTTCGTCCATGCCCATAGTGGTTTATATATGAATCTGACAATCAAGATCAGAATTCGAACGAGTATAGGTTTGAAGGAAAGATGAAAAACTTCGAGGAGATTCAGTAGAAGTAATGCCTTTTAAAGTTAGGCTAGCAAAATGCTAAAATCAAAGTGAATTTTAATTTTCAATAATGTTTAGAATTTAAAAATTAATTAATTAATTTTTGTCAGGAGAATCAATTAACCTGAAACGTTCATAACCTAACTTAATTGACCCAGGAAATTGTTGCATCGGGTCATTTTAAAATTTTAGTCAGGCCATTGGACCCATGACCTGACTTAAAGTGGGTAAATTTAATTGGGTTTAATTTTGCAAAATTTATTTTAAAAAAATTATTGAATTCAATAGAATTATTATTTATTATTGTTTTGGTGCTGAACCCATTTTTATATTTTTTAATAGTGACGTGGAACCAAATAAAATCTTACTTGATTTGGATAAAAATTTTATTGTAGTTATTTTTGGCTTTTTTTATTTTTTATTTTTATTTTTTGGATTTGATTTGTTTGTCGCTTATTAAACGAGCTAAGGAAGAATTTTCTTTCTTGTTGTCATACTTGGACTACGAGAATGGAGATGTTTGGGTAGCTTCACAAACCTACATTGTATAAACCTTCAACTGCTTCAACACCTGAAAAACCTGAGGATGTTTTCTTGGGGAAAACACTCAAACGCTTACGTCAGCAATACTTAATACTCTAAAAAGAGAAGCTGTCGAAAGTAATTGCAAAGAGAGAAGTGTCGTGGAGCTATTACCTTGAGCGGAGGTAGGTGGAGGTATTTATAGCCCCCAAGTGACAGCATGAAGGCATACATGTAAGCATCTGATTAGTCCATGTGTAGGTATCCACATGGGTATGTCTGGATTGATGCATGGATTTATCTTTATTCTGGACAACTTTGGGCTTCAGGGCAAGTAATTGGGCCTGATGCACCAGGCTTGGGTTGAATGTTGGGCCTATTCTCAACATTACTCCCTCCTTAGCGTTCGGTTGACAAACTGAGGTGTTTGCATTCACGACCCATCATTCAGCCTTGAGAATAGGGGGGTTAACAAATGACCTCATAGGTCGTTGAGCTGAGAAAAGGTTGTAGCCTAGGATACACGTTCAAATGCGAACGGGCGATCAATGTGAGTTGTGATACATATTTTGAATCAACCATCGAGAAGGGGGACTTTATGGAGGGTGTTGCATATGTACGACTTGATCTTAGAGCGACCTTGTCAATGTGAGTTTAGGTGAAGTATCTACGAACTGAATGAGCTCGTATTAAGTGAGCTCACACAGCGACTTTTCGAGCTTCAAAATAGAGCAAGTCTCTTATAAGGTTCAAGTTAGGGGAAATATGGTTTCTTAGCATGAGGTGGATCACCAATGCGGCAATTTGATACAAGATCATCTACATGATTATAAGGACTAGCACATGCTTGATGAGTCCACCACTGGGCGATTTTTGAAAATTTAAGATCGAGTGAATCTTTGAGCAGATATGGTTCAGAGGAAATATGATTTCCTGAAAAATAGAGAATAGACGAGATGATGTGGATGAGCTCGTCAATGTGGTTGCAAAGATGAGCTAATATAAGACGAGCTCAGCCTTGTAATTTTTCAAAATTTTAAAAAATTTAAAACAGTGCAGATTCCTGAGGAGATATGGTTCACGGCGATTGATATCCCTTTGTCAGTTGATACCTCTCAACCTCCCCCACAATAAATGCTAGCTTAGCATTTAAAGGGACATGACAGCTAAAGCCGGCTGATGTTACACACTTAGCAGTAAATGGCTGCCATGTGTGGGCATTTGACTGGTACGTAAGGAACACGCGTACGACAATTAAGGCTGCATAATCTATTTGAGAAAAACGAAAAGAAACAATTGTATAACCATTTTCTGTTTCTTTTTCATTGTATTTTCTGTCATTTTCTGCAACGAAGGCCTTTGAAGTTTTTGAAGCAAAGCTTTGAAACCACAAACACAAAAGGATTTTTTGTTCCGAATATTCAGGTAAAGATGGAGTTTTTTAAAGAACTTAGGGAGCTCCGGGGTAACCAGGACAGGGATGAGGAGGGGGTGATTTCTACAAAGCCAATTGTGATGATAGTGCCACCAAAACTATGAGACTTTCTGGAAACGATAACACCAGAGAGTAGCGCCAGTTCAAGCATTGATGGTAACTCTGGTGGCCACCATTCCTCACTGTTTAAAAGCTCATCTTTAGAGAGGATGCCTTGCAATGGGGAAGGTGTTAATAGTCTTCCAATGATGAATATAGGCAGATGTGCCACAAAATTTATCTATCGGCTTTAGGTTCAAGGTAGCACTTCATCACAAGGTGGCAGATGGCGTGGCTACTGTCAAAGGGTATAAGAAGTTAGAAGAGATGGTGAAACAATATCAAATCCGTAGGACATTTTTGATCCAAGCTGGCACTAAAAACAAGAGGGCGTGCACAATGTCACGAACAAGATGGATACCAATGTATATAGAACATTTTGAAGCTAATCTACATTTGCCCCTACCAGGGTTGATTTTTGATTTATTGACAGAGTACGAGTTGGCATTAACATAGCTGACGTCTAACAGTATAAAATTTATTATAGGATTTATGCTGTTATGTGTGAGGTTAGAGACACCAACTAAAGCGATAGTATTTAGGTCACTATTCTTGTGTCGGCTTAGTAGTACCCAGACGAGGTGGTACTATATTTTTGGAAGGGAGAAGATGATGCTTTTTACAAATGTAATGAATAAGGTTACCAGGTGAAAGAGGCAATTCATTTTTGTTCGTGATACACAAACAGAGAGAGTTAATAGCAAACTGGTTGCTCGCATCTCTAAGTGGCTTTGAAGAACTTACATGAACTACCCTATGTTGTTGCTAGACAATGTGGCTTTGAAGAACAAGTTACTAGATTATGTGAAGGCAAAAGGATTGGTAAACCTAGAAGCCTTGGTTACTCTTGAGCAGCTCACGATGTTTGGGTTTGTGGATGCCGCAAACCTATATGTCGAAGGTATATTTCTATTGTAAATTGTGATTGCTAGCCAATCTGAGGCTTATTGCATTTGTTTGTGCAGGAGAAATGAGCAGCGTTTTGGAGAGACAACATAAACAGGCTCAACGTTCATGAGGTCGTTGTTTAGAACCAAGTTTGCATAGGCAGACATGCTTTGACGAATGACCTGTGGTGCCATCTCGTAGCTTGTCCCATCGAGAGTGAGGTTCCAGCTCAGTGTCGAGGTCCTATGCCAAGCAGAGAGTCGATACTATGCCTTCGAAATCCCAAAGGCACGCTTAGGCAGACTTTGATGTTGAGGATGACGTACCACTTATCCGACGGAGAACGAGCTCTGGGACTTAGCCCATTCAACCCATAGTGGTATACTTGTCTAACGTGCCTTCTGCCCCAGCACATGATGTTGCCGAGACAATGGCTGCGCCTGCGTTTGCCTCGAGTCCAAGGATCGCATACCCTGAAGGGTTCAGTTATACAAAAGCTAACTACCAAGCCGCCATGCTGTAGGGTATGTAGAGTTTTGTTCCTCCCATGAATCGGCAGTGTGCAAAGGGTTATATACAGCAGCACGGGGGTCATGTTGCCATGTTAAAGTTAATGGACGTAAGTATTTTCATCCAATGTTTTTGTTGTCTATCTTCTCAATTTTATGTTAGAAACTAATTGTAGAAATTGTGTGGCAGGCATTCAGCTATGCGTTCGCACTATTTGAATGTAAGTAAGGGACACGCGGGCAAACTCGCGAGCTCAATGAAAGCTATAAGTAGTTGACTTTTGAGAAGCTAAGCTTAGAAGACATGGTCAAACACTTGTAGAGCTCTGAGATGGCCAATAGAGCTACGTCAGTTAAGAGCTAAGCTGATGAGTTGGATAATAAAGTGAATAAGCTGAAGAAGGAGCTAAAGAAGGCTTAGGTAAAAAGGGAGAGCGGGATTCAGGCTGCCAAGGATGAGGTCAGTCATGCTGAAGAACAAGCGCAAAAGGTAAAAGCTGAGAGGGATAACGCTCTAAATGACAAGTGGTCATGGCCAACCATAGTCTTGGTTAAGCTGAGGAGGCATTGAACAAGACCATGAGGTCTCACCAGCTTTGTATAAGCATTACTCTAGCTTAAGGGGTGGAGTCGCTAGTCGACTCGAACATGTTTCAAGATGCAGTAGCCGTTGCTTCGATGAATACCACAGCACAAATCTACAATGATATTCGCGAAAAGGCATTACAGCGTCGACCTGACTTTCCCATTGGCGAGCTAGCCTTTTTTGAGGGAGACGAAACGGATGAACAAGGCAAAAATCTCGTTCCTCCCGTTAACATGACAGTGTAGCTAAAGTGGGAGCTAAATGAAGATGGGCTACCCATATGGCCTCCATCTACTCTAGAAGAAGGAGGAGATCTAGAGGGTTTTGCCAAGCTTTGATGCATGGGTGGTCGGGACGCCTGAGGCAAAAGTTGAACCCTCCAACACTTCTCCGATTTCTTAGCTTGCAAACATGCCAACTCATTGTTCTTCGGCTCGCCCTGACGCATCTGTACCCGTAGATTTGACAGATGACTAAGGTGTTATGTTTTTCATTTTCTTTGGTGTTTTTTGTGTAGGTTTGTTAGCAATTTGAATAATTTCAATAGTCTCTTGTATTACGATGTGTAATTCTTAGAGATGAATATAATTTGAGAAATTGTTAAGAAATTTTTGTATTCACTAAATTTTGAATTTACATTTTACATTTTCTCAATATGCTAGATAACAATATGAACTAACTGTAACACTTTCAGAGATTATGTACATTCCAAGTGAACAGTAGTTGACGAGCTTGTGAATTTGCTAGCAAATAAGATGCAAGTTGTTTAATAACGATGACCATGTAAGGGCCCTCCCAGTTAGGAGCGAGCTCGCCCATGTGCGAATAGGAATTTGTGAGCCCGACCTTGCGTAAAACTAGGTCACCGACCTAAAATTGATGAGCATGCACCCTTTTATTGTAAAACTTGGCAACACAACTTTGATATAAGTTATGTTTTTCATTCGAGATGTCTCTCTGACCTTTTCCACAGGGTCTAAGTTTTCTCTTATAAGTAGCTTGTTATCAGAATTATTACATCGAGTAGACCCGTTAGGCATCAAGTTGATTTCCACAGGGATTACGACCTCAACTTCATATGCAAGAGAGAATAGGGTCTCTCTTGTGGCTGAACTAGGTATGGTACAGCATGACCATAGCACTTTGTTGAGCTCATCAACCCAATTAGAGTGTGTAGCTAGGACACGTGTCTTAAGGCCATGCAATACGATTTTATTAGCCAATTCTACTTGTCCTTTTAACTACAAAGCGTAAACAGACGTAAGAGCCAACTCAATGCCATAATCATCACAGAACGACTTGAGAGCTGCAACTCAAAATTGAGGACCATTATCAACTATGATTCACTTAGGAATATCGAACTTGCATACAAAACGAATTGGCTAAGGCACAAAATATGTGTGCATGCAATGCATATATGGTTTGACCAACTGAAGGGTACCTGCACAATATGGAATTGAATAGGAACTCTTCTATTTTCTTTTCAATTGTTGTGGATAACAGTTTAGCTTCTATCCATTTGGTGAAGTAATCCATAACAACTATAAGATGTGTACAACCTCCTTTGCTTTCAACAAAAGGACCGAGCAGATCGACTTCCCATTGTGCAAAAGGCTAAGGCGATGTGAGAAACGATAGCATTTCTCCTGTATCAAAGGAGGTATTCCTGTTTAGCTTAGAAACAAACGTGAAGTTTATGTGTAAACTCCAGAATGAGCTCGGGTACTTGGCATGTGAATGTCGTCAGCATTGAACCAACAGGTTAGACACTTTTTGACATAGTTTTGTGCATCGTCAATTATTATAGGCCAGTAATATCCATGCCTTAGAAGTTTCCGAGCTAATGTTTTTCCACCTATGTGTGCGCCACACACTTTTTCATGAACTTCTCTTACAACATATTCAGCTTCATAAGGAGTAAGGCAACATAATAGGAGCGTTGAGGCTGCTCGTTTATATAATTGGTCATTAATTAAGGTGAAATGGGCCACCTTACACCTAATCAGTCTAGCATCATATGGGTCCTCAAGCAATTTGTCGTTTCATAAATAATTAATTAGGGGTGTAGTCCAGCTCGATGATGAGGGATTTGTGCTTAACACTTGGCATTTGGTTGCGGGGTCAGCATAGCTAGGTGCATCAAGTATCTTAATGAATGTTGTCTTTTAGGGGTTGATATCTTGTGACGAAACTAACTTCAATAATTTATCAGCTCGCTTGTTGTCTGCCCTCGGTATCTTATCAATTTGAAATGAAACAAAACTTGATTTCAACCTGCTGACCATAGAGGTGTAACGAGTGAGCTGAGGGTCTTTGATATCACAGCTCCTGTTCACTTGATTTAGGATGAGCTAGGAGTCACTAAAGACTCTTATGTTTTGTGCTTTCAGTTTTGATGCTAATTTCAAATTATAAAGGAGTGCTTCATATTCAACAGCATTATTGGTCGCTTGAAATCTGAATCTCAAAGCATGCTCAATTTTAAAACCATTTGGACCTATTAGAACAGCTCTTGCCTCTAATCCCTCGACACTTGCAACTCCATCTATGTACAACACCCATATGGGGTGTAAAGCTGTAATTCCTTTGTTAGCCACCAGATGGCATTCCATTAGGAAATCTACCAAGGCTTGACCCCTTATGGTTCAACACAATTTAAATTTGAGGTTGTACTCGCTCAGCTAGATCACTCATCCAATCAGCCGACTAAAAAGCTCAGGTTTCTGTAATATTTTCCTTAGTGGTAGGTCGGTGAAAACAATAATCTGGTGAGATTGAAAACAGGTCCTTAGCTTTCGGGCAATGCAAATAAAGGTGACAGTAACTTTTTTAGCAATTGGGTAGTCCCATTCTGCACCCTGTAGGACCTTACTTGTATAACAGATGGGTTTTTAGTGCTTATCTTATTCCCTTAATAGAATTGATCTGATTGCCTCATCTGTAATTCCCAAGTACAAATATAGCTTCTCTCCTTCAATAGGTTTCTAGAGCAAAGGTGGTGATGGTAGGTATTGTTTGAGCTCATAGAAAGTCTATTGGCATTCATTAGTCCAATTGAAGTTTTTGGGCTCTCTTAAAGCTTTAAAAAAAGGAAGACATCTTTTTATCGACCTGGCAACAAATCTATGCAAAGCAACAAGGTGACCTGTTAGGCGTTGCACATCTTTTACTATTTTAAGAGGTTCCATTTGCTGCATGACTTGAACTTTATCTGGATTCACCTCAATTCCTTTCTTGGATACTACATAACCTAGAAATTTTCCTGATTCCACAGCAAACGCACATTTTAAGGGGTTTAACTTCATCTGTGCTCGGTGCAGGTTCTGAAATGTTTCGTTGAGGTCATCAATATGATCTTCAGCTCGTACATCGGTGACAATCATGTTATCAACACAAACTTCGATATTTCTGTCGATCTAGAGTTTAAAGATGACCTAAACTAATTTTTGATATGTGGCCCTTGTATTTTTCAATCCAAATGGCATCATGACGTAACAGTATATAACATCCCTCATATAAAATGTCATTTCCTCCTGCTTGTCCCACACTCTAAAAAGCTCATGTGCTCATGACTAGCTGCACGCTCTACTAATTTCTCAACATTATGCAAAGGGTGTGAGTCTTTGGGACATGCCTCATTCAAGTTCATGAAGTCAATGCAGATTCTCCACTTACCGTTAAGCTTTTTAACGAGCACAAGGTTAGACACCCATTGCAAATATTCAATCCACCTGATGAAGCATGCATGTAATAGCTTCTGTATTTCTTCATCTATAACAGCTTGCTTTTCAGGGCCAAAAATGTGACGCTTCTTAACCACTAGCTTCCTTGTGGGGTCTATACTGAGATTGTGGACCGCAAATTTTGTTGGAATTTTGGGCATTTCATCTGTTGTCCATGCAAAAACCTTTTGGTTGGACTTAAAAAATTCTAGGAGCTCGGTTCTTTCTTTCGCTGTGAGTTTGGTTCCAATTTTCACTTTTTTTTCAGTTCTTCAGGATTTAAAGGAACCATCTCCACCAATTCTACTGGTTCAGCCTTCTGCTCTACATTCTCAAGTTGGTGATCTATGTCAGATATGCTCATCATTTGTAGGCCTAGCTAGTTTGGCCTGGAAACCTGAGAGGAAAAGGCCTTTGGCGTCGCGGCGAGCTTGACCTTCTTGAATGTATCTTGATAGCATGTTCTAGCCATTTTCTAGTTTCCCTTGAGTACTCCTACCCTATAAGGAGTTGAGAACTTCATACAAAAATGTGGTTGGGAAATGACAGCCTCCAATTCACAAAGAGAAGCTTTTCTTATTATAGCATTAAAAGCTAATTCAATTGACTACTAGGAAGCTCACAGAGGCCATCCTAAACCATGGTTCAATACCCACATAGATGGGAAGAGTGATTACCCCTTCAACAGGGACAAGCTGATTGTCAAATCCATAAATTGGCCCTTCATATTTCTTCAAAGAAGCTGAGTTCAATTGCATCTTTTGGAAGCATGATTGCCTATGTGGAGAGCTGCCCATATTGATGAAGACCCTATTAACATTATGATTGTCTTTGTGGACTGTTGCCATAAAGGGGTCAGCGTATACCTGGCAAACGGGCAGGTTGGGTCGGGTTAGGGTCGAGTCAGAACGGGTAACGGGTCAAAATGGGTTGGGTTAAAACGGGCCACGGGTCAATGAAGGTAGACCCTAACCTGCCCATCACGGGTCACGGGTCAACCGCGGGTTGACCTAATTAAATTTGTTTTCTTTTTTTTTTCTCTATAATTTGTACCTATTATCATTCAAAGAAAATTATTCAAAAGATCTAAAAAAATTTCAACATCTTATAAAAATAATTTTTTTTCATTAATTTAATATATACATATTTATAGTTCCTTAGAATCACCTTCTTTATTTCCCTTCAAAGAACAGCGCTAATCAAGTTTAAGAACACTACACTTATAAATCTCAATAGCAAAAAAAAAAAAAAAAAAAGTAGTAGCATAACAACCAAAAAACACAAACCCCATT